AAGCACACGCTTCGAACACACACACACACACCCACACACACACACACACACACACACACTAATGCTGGCACGCACGGTGAAGTCACAGATGCAGCAAGCAACAGAAGCACTCTTGTACATTTGAGAGGCAGTAAATGAAGAGGCAGAAACGCACACACAGGCTCACGTAGCTGGTTGTCCATAGTTAACATTTGGCAACTTTCTAATCTAGTCCACAAGGTTTGTGAATGTGTGTGCATTTGTCTTATAGGTTATAAAGTTATATGTGTGATTGTCCGCCTGTTCAGCTGTGGGAGACTGTGTTTTATTTTTGTGTGCCCCGATGTTGCAGGGCAGAGGTCCCAGTTCTTACTCAGCTGCTGCTCCAAAACTCAGAGGATCTTTAACGAAACACCGAGCTCTTTGTAGTGAAACCAGTAAAACGGTGAAGACACAAGGATGCATACAACTTATAGAACCATCTGCTATTGATTCCTAAAATTACCCATATGTGTGTTTGCTGATCCAACACCCTTATGAGCTGGACCGTATCATCTTCATTCAGTGCCTTTCCATGAGACCATTAAAGAAACGTTTCACATGACTGGTTTCGCTTCTGCTCCGTCTGGACATTTTGAGGAGTGCCTTTAAATACACACACACACAGCTGCAAAAATGTCAAGCATGACTCAATAAAGTCCCAAATCGTTTTACATTGTGGTCCTCGATGTCAAGATGGCAAATATGCAGGAGTCCAGATATCACCAACACAATCGATCCCCGTATCATCGTCAATAACAGCCAGCAACATCTAAAGTTCTACGTCATGTGCTTGCCTTGATGCTGCATGTGTTTCTTTTAAGTATCTGTGCGTGTGCATTACAGCGCTGTATCAAATGACTGCATTACTTTCAGCTCAGTAATCCTTAAGCTAACCTCTTCCTCCAAGTCAATGTCCTCACTTCATCAGTCGACGTTTGATGATGATGATGCCGCGGTGGAAAGGTACGACAGCGTCGTGCCCGGTGGCACTCGATGTTTGAACAAGTAATTGCAGCGGTGTGTAATCAGCTAATCAAACAGTGGGGCCACTTGTTCTCATGAATATCCTCTCTGACAGTTGGCTAATGATAATTTGACCTTAATTGATCTTTCTGCTTGAATTACGGTTAATCAGGGCACAAAAGGATAAAGAAGTGAATTTTGCGAGTGTCCCTCTGTTCCCGTAAAGCGGGGAACACAACGTCGTGTCGCCATCTCCCTCGATCTATGTCACAGACTTTTTTTTCTGCTTCAAACCATCACCATCAACTCTTCCTCTCATGTGCACAATTGAAATGCTTCACTTTGGCAAGTATGTGCAGCAGCATGCGTGTAGTGTGTCCATCACTCATGTCAGTTTAGCAAGCAGCCCACGGACCCTTACATATAGTGCATTGCTCGTGGTATCACGTGGATGCATGCATGTTCATTTTTCTGGATATTGCCTCCGGACAGAGATGTGGGCTTTAGATGTCCTGCAGGTCTTAACACCAATGACCTCAAAACATGACATTATGTTGTCTCTTTATGGTAACGAATCTGCTCTGGGAAAACACCACAGGGCTGCATAAGAAGTACAACACCCTCAGTGCCCTGCATAATCCCACTATGAATAAAACGTCCATCTTCCCTGTAATGGCAAAGGTCTAGTTGACTCTTCATGGTAACTGCTCTGAGCCCCAGTGTTCCCTATTGTTGTTTTTTACACCTGAGTACACACCAGACCACACCCGATTTGACTCACATGAGATAACTGTCAGTTGCAGCAGTTTTGCAGTGTTCCCGTCATTGTTTATCCGTCTTTAATCCTTAAATGATCGCTGATACGACTTGCTTCTTCTTCGTTGCAGTGCCCAAAACTTCAAAATAACGTCAAGTTGTGATAGACATGTTTAATCATGAGGGGGCCCGGCCTTGTCATCAACATAAATAAGTAAAATAATGAGTACAAATAGTAAAAATGAAGTTCTGTGAAGGACATAGATGATTATCATTCTCATTCGGTTGGGAATAGCGGTGTTCCAACGCTGCTTACAATGCCATGTCTATTAGCAAGCAATCAATAGCACTTGAGCTGAATGTCATTATGGTTATTAGGCCTGCTTGTGTGTGTGTGTGTGTGGTGATGAAGCACGAGGACATTATGCAGGGTGGTGCGATCGCCTGTGCATAGTGATCACATGAGTGTACTCATTATCGTGCCTGCTTGTGTTTCCGCTGTTTTGCATTTGAGGAGTGATGGGTGATATACCGAGCACTCATGAATGCTGAAGTTTCAGAGGGGGGGATGTTTTCAAGGTGAGAGGGAGAGAAATTGATGCAGATTAGAGAGGGAAAGGTGAGCAGAGAGAGAGAGAGATACAGAGGGAGAACGAGTGAGAATAACTCGCAGGAGAACAGACAGAGGCAAAGATGGAAGGTAACAGCAATTGATTGCCACAGCTGAGATGGCACCTGAATTTGCAGTCACATGTGACGCGTGTACCTGACCCAGACCAGAGCTGTTAAGTTAAAGGATGAGGTTGGTAATATTATGCATCTTTCTTATTGTCAACAGATCTCATGAAAAGACCCAAACCAACGATGAATTGATCTTTTCATCGAGTATTGCCCTGTGCAGCCAGAGCCTGATAAAGCTTCTTTCTCTGAGCCACAGAGCTCCATCGTTGTCCAGAAACTATTAAAAACCAAATCAATGAGCGACGCTGTATCCGTATACAGCTGAAATCAGCCCCGGACAAATGCACTATGTATTCCTCTTTGACTTGTGTGCCCAGATGTTTTTGGAACTTTTGGACTTCAATATTTGTATGCATCCACATCAGTGACAGCCATGGCTAAGGGCTGATTGTTTTTAATGTGTTTTTTTAGTTCAAACTAGCTGACAATATGGGAGTGAGAGAAAATAAAGCACAAAGAGGCAAAAACATAGCAGAAACCTAAATGAGAGAAACATGTCAAAAGAAACGAGAGCTGGAGAACTTAAAGTTCAAAGCAGGATATGGGTAGAGGCAGATGGCAGGGAGGGGAGTGAGGAGACAGGGGAGGAGGACTAGCGATAAAGATAGGGACCGACTGCCAGAGTGAGAGGATGAGGAGGAGAGGGGTGAACTTTGATACGACGGAGAGAGAAAGACGAGAAGAAGTTAAAGGGAGAGGACAGAGATGAAAAGCGATGGAGACGGAGAGGGAGCAACGGCTAGAGAGAAGAATGGATATCGGAAGGGACAGACATAGAGAGGGAGTGATGCAACCCCGGGAAGATAAGGAGGATGGGATGTGGCAGCGGATGGGGGGGGCTCAAGACAGGAGGTCAAAGAATCAGCACTGTGTTGAGACTCTCAAGGACGTTCACTGGAAAAAGCTCCGAAAAGGTCGTTTCAGCAGAAATATTCCCGGGGGCACGCTCCTGCTTATAAATACTGATTTCTGATAACATCAGTCGGACTCTCCTCCAGCAGCTTAATGCCACCTAAAGACGGGTTGGGCAGGGACCTTTTCTAACTTTTTAATAATACAGTCTCTCACTTTGATAACATAGTGGAGGTAATAACACTCTGCAGCGTGCCCTGTGGAATTATGATTTTCTCACAAGCTCGACATGAATGTTCGCCGACTTACAATGTGTAACGCAGGAAACTTTCTCTTCTCTTCTCCCTCCACTTACTTGTCACATAAAGCACAAGGGCACAAAATCATCAAAGCGAACATCAAAGTCAAACTTTTTATATTTTTTTTTTTACTGAGATGCAAATAACTTTTTTATTTTTTTTTTATGTAAATAAAGTCACACATCCGTTGAAAGTGACTCTACAGAGGAGGAGATCAAAGAAGAGGGGCATTTCTAGCCACAAACATGTATTATGCACGGACATTAGATGGACTCGGGGAAATGGCGAGGCCAAGCGAGGAGATAACTTGGGTGGACAGACAGTGGGGGGGGGGGGGGACAAAAATAAAAGAGCAGAAAGCGGAGGGTGGCAGAAAAGGGGGGGGGGGCTGAACGACAGATAGAGAGGAAGACGGAGAGAGAACAAACAGTGTCAGGTTAATGTTAATGGGGACAGGGATCTTGTCTTATTAAATATAGATGAAACACTACGTTTGACATCCGTACCAGCTGCGTTAGATCGACGGAGGGAAGAAGCTCGATCAAGAAAAAAAACTGCAAAATGGGAGGCATTGTAGCGAGAGAGCGAAGGGAGGGAGGAGGACAGACGGATAAAGGGAAAGACACGGAGAGAGACATCAGGGTAAGACAAGGATCTTGACAGCATCTGATCCCAGGCCAGTGGGGGCACTCTTTTCTTTTTGTCTTCTCTTCATAGACAAGGGCTTTTCCTGAGACGGGGATCAATATTTTATTGTTGTTTGTTGTTGTGCTGTTGATCCTCAGTGTTTCAGCGTTAAACAGAGGTCTTCGCTCCGTGTGGTCATGACAGGGCCCATGGGACTTCTAACCAGAGCAGGGCTACTAACCCCAGTGTCCTGGCTACAACTCCCATCGGGCCCACATATATCCCTGAGCCCCCGGTGGGGTCACGGTCCCTACAACTTTACTGACCCCGTGGACAAAGGCACTGTTTCTGAGTCGGCCTGTGAGGTCATTCATAGAAGGATAAAGGCCACGTGGGCAACACAAGACGTTTTTCTAAATTCTCCCCATTTTGGAAAGTAAGGATAGCGTTTTCCTCCAGCGCCTCTTCTATGAAACCAAATCAGGCACACTGTGGAACAGAATATGAATCTTTTTATTCCCATTCTCAATGTCATAATTATCCAAAGTAGACTTATCCCCACACAGAATATCTTGCTTGTTGTATGTGCTGATATAGTTATAAAGGTTTTGTTTTTCTACCCTCTGCTCCCATCTGCTCGGTCAGAATGCACACAGGGCAGTGATGTACCCCCACAGATATCTGACTTATTAGCTGTTGATGTCACTTATCCTTAACCTCTGCCTCTGTCTTTGCTTCCAGTTGCTAGGAACCAGTATGAGCGAATGGGCAGTGATGTAACCATGCAGTGCGGCTCCCTGGACAATGACGCATCGGTGTCATGGAAGGTGAACGGGACAGACGTGAAAGCCCAGCACCGTCTGGAGGGTCCCAGACTGATGCTGACCGAAGTGGACCTGGGCCACAACGGACTCTACAGCTGCTTTCAGAACCCGCACGGAGAGAGACGTGACACCATCTACCTCCACATCGGCAGTAAGTACCCAGACAATTGCCCGCCGAATGTCATTTCACATAAGACATGATGAATCTTTAATCATCCCGGAGGGGGAACTGGGTAATTGCAGCAGAATAGAAATGAGAGAGAAAATCGTGGTGCCACTGACCATGATGCAATTACCACTCCAAAGGGAAAATATGATTTATTAATGAGACATGTTGTACATTTTTTGCCTGTATATATGTGCAAAAGCAAAGGCAACAACAATGCATGTACACATAGAACTGAACTTGCTGTGACTTCAAGCTACATGGAAATGTTTTGCTCATGATTATGTAATGGCTACCCTGCTGGCTGTACGCTTCCACTTGAACTCACAATAGAACTTATGGTCCGCTAGCGCAACAGGCGGCTGGTCACCCTGATGGTTTCGAGAATATCAGCGTGTCAATCAGGTGCGAACTGGCCAAATCTGCAGCAGCTGTTGAGCTTGCTATATAAAGAGACTGGGGGGCATGTGATTGGCTGAGAGGTGAAAGGGCGGGGACCACACCACTGGTATGAAAAGTGACATTCATTGAAATTGACAGTATGAAATATAAATAGTCTAACTTTTAATAGTGAGTTATAATATTTTGAAGGGCTGAACATGATGATAACAGTTCTTACAATAGGAGCCGCTGCCGGCTGACAAGCTAATGACTAGTTGTTAAAATGACATTTGGTCATTTTTGCAGCTATGGCAGTGCATTTTAATAATCATGCAAAAGCTAGATGGGCGTCAGTTTAACAGCGTGTCTCCGTGGCATTGGCTTCCTTTGAGATCCATTATTCTGATGGTAGAGGTTCATACACTGTGCTTGAGCATCATGATGCTGTTGAAATATGATAGACTTGTAAATGACAAGTAGCCTTGAGGATCATTGGAATGAAAAATATCTTAATTAAATATGGTATTTAGCTAAAAATCTGTATTCATGCGTGAATTAACTTTTTCATTTAACACTTCATTCTGCATGGTTACTTAACATAAGCAATTCATATTTAAAGTACAACTTGTTCTCCAAAGGTCTCCGCTGGATATAGTCAGATATGTAGCGATGGTTTCATCCAAGGGAAAACCAAAATGAGTGTGTTTTCAATTTCTTTATATTGCATCCATTAATACCTCAGGTTTATTGTGACAGCTCCATCCTCTAATCTGCCTCCTTCCAGTTTAGCTGTTGGCGTACATCTGTCACTGCATCAATGCTCCATGTTTGATGCCTGTGTCTATTCTGAAATGACAGATTTGAGGAAAAACATGTTCTAGTCAATAGCAAATCCATGCTTTCTCATTGTAGCAGGGGAAAAAAGAGAGGGAGGCACTTCTGCGTTATCTCTGCTGGCCAGCAGCTCCTCGCATACAAGCGATCGCGCTCCATTTCCCTCCATTTGTGTCTGTTGCTAATATAAGGATTAGGCAACAGTTTGAATTGAATTCCCGCAGGAATCGCGCTGCAGCTGGCTAGCTGGATAGCAGGTGAAATTAGATTCATTTTTTTGGCATCAGTCATGGCAGACCTCTTCAAAACAGCGCCAAAAGTGACACATTTTGATACATTGCCGTAGAAACCCCGTCATTCATCATTCCCGTGGCATTGGTGAATCGGAGCCCATACCAGATTTCTTATTTTTGACACCGTTGTACTCTAAAGTCCCCCTCTGGTCCAAATCGGACAAAGGTAGATTGAAAGAAAAGGTAGACTGGTTGCCCTGACTGCGCTGCGTCAAAAATGTCACCACGGTGTAATTCACTGTAAGAAATTAAACAAAACAGCATGGGGACAAGGTGAAAAAGTGGTCGGAATGCATCCCCATTGGCTAAACAGGAAACCACACCTGTATGACTCCTCCCACTTGTCAGCAGGGCCGACAGAAAGCCGAGCGCACCACCCATCGAGATTGTATCCCGGGCCCAAGTTGGACGCAACATTCCCATGCAAATTTTTGATGAATGAGACTGTACGGGAGTGTGACAGTTTGGTTAATCATATCGCAGATGATGAATTACTGAATGCTGAAATAATACTGAATTAATTAGAGTTTTATGTCATGGTACGTTATGTCAGCAGGGTGAATGATGCAATGCATAAACAGTCTAGAAAGTGTGTGTGTGTGTGTGTGTGTGTGTGTGTGTGTGTGTGTGTGTGTG